TTGTTTTAAAAATGTTGCACATATTATAAATAATCTAGAGTAGTTCGATATACAAAATAAACATTTTTGAAATTTTGTGAAAAGAAACTGATTAAACAACAATCAGTGTATTAATTTATACAAACTGAACTTGTTTCGGTTGTTTCAAATCAAACAAATAAAATAAACTCTTTTTATTTTTGGTTATCTCCCAATAAATAAAACACAATTGAGAACAGCAAGTTAGTCTTATTATTACTGGTTAATCGTTTTTAATATATACATTTTGAATAAACAAAAACAATACTTTTAAAACTGCCTCTTATTTTTAACTATAATATCGCAAAGTCCACAAAAATTAATTAAAAAGTAATAAACCATATTTTGAACAATATTTTTCATTCAGAAAACGTTTTGAAATTTTACATTTCGCTCAAAAAGTAATAAAATAGTTGCTTGGTATTACTTTTAACTACCAAACCAAATAACAATAATTGACTATTTTCGAAGTACTCCAACAATTGCATTTCATGAAGTTGTATTATTTGTGAAAAATAAAAATTATTTATGAATATAGTACGAAAAAAAATGTTTTGAAAACACCGAATGATTTCGCTCAATATCTGGTGAATTCCAACATTGATAAGCAAAACAACAAATTAAAACAACTATTTTCAACAAACCCAAAAATAATCAACCTTCTATGGTGGTATTATTCATATATAAACTCATTTTTACAATTGTTAATCATTTAATTATGGGAAGCTCATTATCACACTTAATCGAAGTCAGAAACGTTTCTAAATACTCCATGAAGTGTTTTGGTGATAAAAACAAACAGGTACAAGAAAAAAGGTCAAAGAAAACACAAACCAAAACAAAAACAATTTCACTTGATCAAATTACAGAAGATATGTTAACAAAAACAAAAGAGCAAGAAATTATCAATTCTCTTTTGAAAGAAACGAAAAGTAAACACATTGAGATAATTTACAATTCAGAATTAACCGAGTTTGATCAAAGAAATATCAGAACAAAGATAATTGGAGAACAAAAAATTATATTTCTTGTTGTGACCGATAGAGGTTCGATTTTTGGATTCTACCAAAATGATTTAGTCGACAAAATGAAATGTTGTAAACAAATTAAAGCAACATCAGAAGATTTCTTCTTGTTTGGAAGTCCCTATGTATATCAAACCCTGGAATTTTACAGAAGAAACAAACAAATTGAAAACAAAAACACAACTTCATTTACTTTGTATGAAGATAATAACAATCTTGTTCTTTCTTGTTATTCTTCGTTCTGGATAACGAAGAATGGACAAATTGGATTTAATTTATGTGCAAAAGAACACTACAACCTTCCTCAAATAAATCAAAATGTATTTACTGGCAAGCAAAAAACAGAAACAACATTATGTGAGAAGTTACTTATACTCAAATGTTTATAATTTATTGTTCTCGATAATTAGGTTATATTAAAATAAACCATATTTTGATAAATATGTTTTGATTATTCTTTATATCAAGTAATTTAATGTGATACAATATTTGTATGATAACAATTATAATATATATTCAATTTATTAAGAAGTAATAAATAATATGTACTAACAAAGTACAATAACAAAACCCAAACATTTAAGTTATTCATAATAATTAAATAAATACGTGATGATCTTAATATAATTTTATTATAGTCAGTCTGAAAACGTTGTCCGCTTTCCAACGTTGTCCAAGCATTTTTAGACAATAAAAACAGAAATATTTCGGGAAACATTCACAAAACACTGTTTCATAATTTTTAATGTATTTGATCGTTTTTTCCTAATTCCCAAATTTTTCAACTTATTTTGTGTATTTTTTTGTCAAATGAACAACTTTTTACAAGCGGACAACGTTTTTAAACAGACTTTACTTTTTATTGTTATACAAAAAAACCAAAAAATTACCACACAACAATTAAACATTTTTATTTCTTTATTTCACTTTTTTGTTGTGCATTGACAATTTCCTCTGTTTTATTCATAGGTGGAGTTGCTTTGTTGATTTCTGGACTTTCTTCTTTAGCCTCTGTAATTGCCTTCAAAATAGCGTTTCTATAATTATCATTACCGTCCATAGAAGTGAGAGCTCTAGCCGAGTCCATCGAGTCTCTAGTTTTTTCCATCGATGAAGTTCTTGACAAGTCCTCCAGCTCAATTGGAGTGTTTTCTTGTGTGATTTTCTTATCGAACAGGTGTGTTTTCTGGTAGAGTAAAGTAGCGACACCGACTATAGTGAATCCAATGACGCACATCGACATGTTAATAATGTGCATCCACACACGACTTAACGCAGAGCAGAATATACCGACCAATAAAGGAGACAAAGAGTACGTCATTTCTCCGATAAATTCAGAGATCCCCAAGTACTTTCCATGTGCTTCTGAGACTGTAATTGAGTAATACAAATTCGCCTGTAATTCGTATCCAGCGACCATTCCCATTGGCACGCTAAATATCATCACCATCCACCCGTTTGTGAATATAAATAATCCACACGAGACGACAAACATAGCAACAAAAGCTATTAAGTTGTATCTTTGGTGATACTGCCATCCCACCCATTTCCCCAAAACTACAAAAGTGATCGTCTGCACTACATTCTCGCTGAATAAGAAGATACCAACAAATAACGAGGGGGTGGAGGAGACTCCTTTCAATATAATGTTTTTGTCCGTGGCGTAGTCCACATACTGGTTTTGGACTATCGCAATGATGCCATAATTAAACAGGTGAACTATTAATGACGTGTAATAGAAGATCTTTGGGTGGACTCTCTTCACGGCGTTGTTCTGAAACACTTTTGAAGGATTGGTCTGGTCGTTTTTGTATCCAGGAATGCGGGGGAAGACGACGAAAATGATCAAAGGGAGTAAAGCTCCGAAGTAAAAGGAGTAAGTGTTTCCCATTAAAACAGTAGCACTTCCTGCAAAGAGAAATCCAACAGCTTTTCCAAAGGCGCTGAGTGTAGCGAAATATGAGATGTTCTTATTTTCTTCTCCTATGTAACTTTCAGCACCTATTAAAGTCTCATCAGGAGACCAAAACATAGAAAGCCCAACACCTTGAATCACTAAGAACAAAAATAACGGCCATATACTCGTGTTGTTCACATAAAAGAGTGCCGTTAAAATACAGGAAATGGCTTGGAAGATACACCCGATCTCACAGAGAATCTCTCCACGCCATTTGTCTGTTAATATCCCCATTACAGGGGCTAATAAACCAGCTAAACAAAAGGTTAAGGCATCAGCAGCTCCTATGATTAAGGGTGTGTCATCTTTGGCTCCAGATGCTACTGCGGGCGCTCGAAGCTCTTTAACTAAGACAGGAGCTACAAGCCAGTAAAAATAGACTGAGAAGTCGAAGAACATGCTGGTGATACAGTAAAGAGGCATGTTGGTTTTTTTTAAGTAACGTGTTAATGATAACATGACGATTTGTGTTCACTTAGAGTTCATGTAAACCGTTTTATTTTAGAAGCACAATAATCCTTTGTTTTTTTTTCTTTTTTCAATACAAAAATGGGGATGAAGACTCTAAATAGGTGTGAGCTGGTATTATGTGGTAATTTAATGTATTTTATATAAATTATTATTCATCATTTATTATATCTAAAATTAAATAATTCTAATTTATTTATACTGATTTATACTATAATTTATAGTAAAGGTATTAAAACTTTTACTATAATAATATTTCTTGTATATATTAACATATTAACATATTACTAATAATAATAATGATATAAAAAGTGTTACAAAAAACACAAATAGTATTTTAAATTTGTACAAAAACGATTGTATTGATCAAATTTGTTGTTTATAAATAAACAATTTGGTATAAGTTATTATACTATTATTGTATTTATTAAAATAGTATTGTGTATACTATTATTTTTTGAACTATTTTGTATTATAATACAATTAACATTTATAATTAACAAAAAAGTATATAATTAATCTAATCCCGTCATTTAATGTCGGAGATTTTCGACCAAAATAAAATAATCAATCAATTATATAATTCATATTAATTATCTAATAGTTATATTTCATTTACCATACAAAATAGTTATATTTACTTACAGAATAATTATAAATAGCAAAATAAAAAGTTATCAATTAAAATAGAATATTTTTTTAAAAATAAAGAAATAAATAATCATTGATTATAGTAAAAATATAATTATATTTTAATATATAAAATGCGATTTAAAATTTATTTAAATAATTATCAAGTACTATATTATTATACACAAAGATATATTAATAATAACAATTAATTAAACTTTTTGTGGTTTTCCACACCAATCCAATTTCAGTCCATTTGCCAATATTTTATGTCTGAGTACTGGAGCGCACATCGTATTTTTAGTAAACACAATTTTCTTCTGTTTATCATAAATGCAAGTGTTTTTCTCTCTAAAACAAAATCTTTGGGAACATCTATCGAGTTGGTATTTCTTCATATCAATGATATCTTCTTCTCTTCCATTGTCTTCACCAAATTCTATTTGATTAGTATCATTATAATAAATATAGTTCTTGTTGAAGTAATATGTATAGAAAATAACGTTGTGGACCGCCTGGTCATATCCCCAGTCTTTATATTTCTCTGGACTCAAATTTTCCGTCATCAATGTGATGTAATTGAACACCTTTTTTGTTCCTCCAAAAATTGTTCCCACATTCATTAACAGTGAATTGTTCTTCGCATAGGTCTCTGCCATGTCTTTCCCATATCCATTTGCCATCCAATTCTTCACATCGACTTGATTTAATGTGACGCACTCTTCATGATCATAAGAACACTCCGGCGTAAAGACTAAGTCTTGTGCAGAAAAAGTCGCAAAGAAGTCTGCGAAGATATAAACGTCTCTAAAGTCACTAATAAGTACTCTATCATATAATTGTAATTTATCTTCTAAGTACTCTTTGAATGCAAAAAATCGTTTAGAGGCGTCTTGGCACTTTTTAATATTTGGTAAATCAATTTCGACAGTCTGAAAGCCATAACTTTGTGCCATAGTACTTAACTCAGTGTAGTTGTACCCAGGAAGAAATAAGAGGACTTTATCTGCATTAGGAATAGACGAATTGGAGAGACCAAAAACAAGTGGAACGTCTTTCATAATCTGCTCATAATATTTCTGTGAGTTGATCCCAATGGCACTCAACCACAAATCACGTTTGTTGTTTGGAAGATATTTAAAAACTTTACTACAAGCGCCATTGTAATTAAAATGTGTGGTGTCGAGTATTTGATCGGAATAAGTCGGTAAAGTGACTCGAGGTATTGTAACTTGTTTATTCGTGTTTTTAAGCACTTTAAATCGAGTCGAGTTTGGGTTTAAATCAAGTAGAATAAACAAGGAAGATACACTCATAAAAATGAACATGAAAATTAACAAATGTGTCACGTCAAATGACATAGTATTGAAAACACAATCATTTTGAAAGTTTTTAATATCTCCTTTTCTATTCAAAAAGTTTGACTTTGGTTTATTTTTTGTTACCATTATTAAATTAATATTGTTATATAAATTTGTATCATATTGTTCTGTGTTGATTTATTTAGTTGTAAATTGACACATTAAAGAAAGTGAAAAATGAATAAATATAATTAGAAGTAGAACAATTAAATATCTTATTTTGACTTTCTTGTAAAGTGTTAATTCGTTATTTTCATTTATTTCATTATTTATTTTATTTATGTAATAAACAATTAATAATTAATAATTAATAATTAATAATTAATAATTAATAATTAATAATTAATAATTAATAATTAATAATTAATAATTAATAATTAATAATTAATAATTAATAATTAATATATAAATATAATGAAAGAGAAAGAGAAAAAGGGATATAACTTACCATCAATTAAGATTGGACATTCAAATTTTGTTGAAAATAGTATATTCCCATAAATGTATGTTTTTAAACAATACACCAACAATTTACACAAACTTTGATTTTGTTAACTTGTGAAATAAAAATATAAAATTAATAATTTAAAAAATATTATTTTTTACTTTCTAATACAGTCATGCGAAAAAGCTGTCGCGTTTGGAAAAACCTGTCTCGGGTGGTAATGAACTATTCTAGTACTATAAACAAATGATCTGAAATAGAA